GCGCGCGCCCGGCTCCCTGGGCCAGGGGGAGCTGCTGCGGGGGGCGGCTCAGGGTGGAAGCTACTGCAGGGGGGTGCCTCAGGGCAGGGGGGGGGGTGGGGAGCTGCCACAGGGCTCAGGGAGGGGGGGGGCGTAAGGTGGAAGTTTCACCTAGGGCATGAAACATCCTTGCACCTGCCCTGCTGGCCTCCAAACATCAGCTGGGAGGCAGCTGATTAGTCACAGGTAGGGTAGGGGCCCAACTTCTATTAAAGACCAGCTACCCCGTGACATGGTAATTCCAATATTTGTTCTCTCTTATTTATTGTCATACGTGAATTAGCATCTACACATCCAACAGTCCTGCCTCAGATTAATTATATGAACAGTGACTGTGTTTCCTTGGTACAGCCCTTTCTGGAGCCCAGACTAAATCAACATAGCTCTGTGAATAGGGTTGGGGGGATGGGGAGGAACCGAGTCTATACAGCAAAGCTCTGAAAAGCCCTTTAAAGCCTTCAGGCCTGTTTTACAAGTAAGTTCCTCTTCTGATACTGCCCTTTGCAGTAAGTTGGTTCAGAAAGAAGAAGAATCAGGAGAGACTCTGTAATATTTCTGGAAAAACTAGTTGCATGTCCCCAAACATAACTGCTCTTAACATACAACAGTGAGTTAGCCACAGTATTGGAGTCAGAAGTTGCATAGTCGAAAGGACTGAGATGTTGGTTGAATCCTCAGCATGTATTGGACTTTTTTGATGCAAGGGGAATCACACTGGCTCTTTGTCAAGAATATACTGCTTTTTGTTACATGCAGAGATACTACAGTAGTTATATATATTTGTATTTTTGTTTCCAAATTCATGTGGAGACATCAGTTTACAGCAATCAAGAGTGTAGGGGCGGGGTCTATGCTTTCAAGCATAGCACTTGGGGTTATAACTTGTGCGATGTGAAAAAACAGGCTCACCCTGCACTTGGATGGAAAACCCCTGTATTGCAGTGAGTGGTGGTTGTGGTCCGCAAGGTGGAATGCTTCCCGCTGAGCCTGAACCAATGTACAAGCATCCAGCGCTGAAAAACTGAGTAAGGAGATGCCAATGCACCATGCTGCTCGAAGTGCCATTTTTCATATAAGCTGCAAAACTAGAGGTCCTCAGTGTTTGAAAGGCTATTTAAAAAAAATATATATCGCATAGCACAACAGGACCAGAGTGCTAGCGTGTTGGAGGGAACCAGGCTATTCTAGGAGATGAAGAGCTTTCATTCCCCTAGGATGGATTCAGGCAGCTGGAAAGGGGACTTCGGGGTTTAGACGGTTGAGGACAGGCGCTGGGCTCTACTGCACACGTGGCATTGTTCAACTCTGCAAATAGCCGAAGCTACAATTGACTAAAACACACTTCTCCCTTCTCACAAGTGTTTGCATACAACAGAACAGTAGCTTAGCGTCCACCTCCACTGAAATGTGGATCCTTTATTCCCCTCCCTGAGATCACAGACCTCATTGGATAGAAACCTAGTTGTGTCATGGACTATGACAGTCTCACCTCTAGCTGTCACTGCTTGACATCGGATGAGTCCGGGGCATGCCTGTTAGGCCAGATCCTTGCGCGCAAGACAAAGGCCATCACCAGGGTGACTAGTCTGCACTATGTTAAGGTAATTCTGCCCCAGCAGCCTCTCCTCTGCTAGGTTTCAGAGTAGCAGCCGTGTTAGTCTGTATCCGCAAAAAGAACAGGAGTACTTGTGGCACCTTAGAGACTAACAAATTTATTAGAGCATAAGCTTTTGTGGACTACAGCCCACTGGGCTGCTTCCATCCATGCCAGTTCTTGGAAACAGACAGCGCTGGTGGATTGTTTGTATTTAGTAGATTTTGGGGAGGTGTGCACTGGGAAGAGGGCTCACCTTTTCATTAGAAATAACCCATTGGGGAAACCTCTTCATTGAATCTAAAATAAACCCCAGGCACCCTGATTCAAGGCCAAAGCATGAAATGAATTCACTAACGGGCTGTAGTGTGACAGCAGGATCAACTGTCCACCTTCTACAAGCAAGAACCACCTCCAAGGATAAAGGAGTAATGGAAGCTAAAGAACTCTCTCTTTTATCTTGTGGGAGCATGAGTTAGTACTCAAAGTGATAGATAAATACAGCAGAGTGAGGTCCAGTAGCTTGAGTCTTTACCAAGTACCAGAAACTCCTGCACTAAAATCCTGACACTGTCTGGGACCTTGGGCAAGGCATTTAACCTTGCTCTGCCTTAGTTTAGCCCATCTATTAAGTGAGGATCATGCCAACATCCCTACCCTACAGCAGAGGAGGGATGAGTTGAGTACTAAAGTCCACACCCGTGATGCACTACAGAAGTGCTCATTAGTATAATAGTAACACCCTGAGAATTAAGCATTTTAATCAACTATTACTTTTAAGTTCTTCCAGCAGCCTGCATCATTAACAGACTTCTTCTGAATTTCTTCTATGGCTTTTGATCATAAATTAAAAAAATTGTGAAGCCATGCAGCTGCTACAGTCTAATTCATTTCTCTCCACCTCCACCCCCCCAGTTAGTTCCTTCCATTTCACTGCTCTGATGGATGCCCTTTAATCCACCTATTGTGAAACGTCGCCTTATGGGTGTGCTTCAGGGTATTAGGCCAACAAACCAACATGGGCCTTGAAAACTCAGTTGCCCCACGGCAAAGTTTTCAGGGTCCAGACTGAATCCTTTGTTTGCAAAACTTAGCATCAGTGCAGGTGAGTGACTCAATGCAAATATACTTACGTGCACTCCCATTAGGCTAACAGATAGCTGGTGTATACCACAGGAGTCCTGGCAGCATGCAGTCTTGCACGTTTTTGTCTCTAGTAAGTTACGGATGGAGAACAGGACCTCTGAATGTTGAATGACAGGCCGTAGGCTGAATACTATGCACACTACTGCATTAGATCTGACCAGTGTGTACAATTGCTTTCTTCCCATCAAACAGAGATGCCCGAATCCTGAGTCACTTTAAAAAGTTGTCCATTAAACATTACAAATCTGAAACAGGGCTGCAGCAAGGTTATACGCCAGCACAGGACAGCAACTGACCAAAACCCCCAGCAACTACATAGGGAATTATATGTAGGCAGAATGTAATTAGTTACCCACTTGGAATTAGATCAGTACTATCATTGAATTAAGCTACGTTCCCAGTGTTATAATAGTTTCCTTTTTGAATTTAAATTGCAAGAATGCTAAAAGGATATTCCTTCCTGCTACTGCTACTGCGGCATGGGTCACTTGCTGGAGGATTCTCTGCACCTTGAGGTCTTTAAACCACGATTTGAGGACTTCAATAACTCAGACATAGGTTAGGGGTTTGTTACAGGAGATTCTGTGGCCTGCGTTGTGCAGGAGGTCAGACTAGATGATCATAATGGTCCCTTCTGACCTTAAAGTCTTTGAGTCTATGAATGGGCGGTACATTTACAATGACACTTAGCATTAGCAATCGATAATTCAGCAAATCTGGTCTTCTAATAAAAACCTATTGAGTGAAATTCTGCTCCCTTTGAGGAAAGACACCAACCCCTCTTTACTGTATTGTTCGGTGATTTCTTGTGCAGCTTTTACGGTATATGGCATTGTAAAGTAATGTGTACAGTTACAATATATCCTCCTGCCTACAGAGCTTACCATCTAACACAGACAAGACAGCAGCGTAGAGAAGGGGAAAGAATGAAAAGTACAATGGTGAGACCAGGAAGAAGTGCTGTGAAGAGATGTCAACTTTACTAGTGAGCAGAAACACCCTAACCAAGAGTTATTTCACCTGGATGACGACGTGCTCAGCGGCAGAGACCCAGTTGCTTTCGACCTGAACAGGGTGCAGCAGAACTATATGTAAGGACTGTCGCTCAGATCAACATCCAGCGGCTTCTTGTGCCGGGCCACGGTCCAGAATTCTGTGTCCGAGATGACTCTGTGGGCGTTAACCAGCAACAAAGGTCCTGTTGTTCCCTTCATTTACCTCTTAATGAAAAGCTACAGTAAGTGCCCGATTAATTATAAATGAGCTGACTCTCCTCCTCCATCTGTCTGCCCTAGGATGGTTTTTGAACACTCCAATTTGCCAACAAACAGGTGTGACCCTCAACAGCCCTAACCCACCCTTCTATAGGCTTGGATGTAAATCACCCTCCCCACAAACGTAGAGCTCCAGTTCAGCTCTGCTTCCAGGATCATTTCACCTGGAAGTAGGAGCGTGCTGTATGTTTCCATAGAGGTTCCGAGGTAGTACAGAGCACAGAAGGAGCCCAGTTACAATACAGGTGATTTCTGCAGTGTCATTCCTACCACATATCCTCAGCTGAGTACAGGCCAAACCATTACACACAAGTCAGCCACAGAAGGTATTTACAGGAAAAGCATAAAAGGACCAGAATCTTACTGCCTGGTGTAAATGGAGTCGCACTAGGTTTTATACATCGGTGGATTTACTATGGATTTACACCCACATCAGTGAGAGTAGATCCAGGCCTTAAGCGTCTGATTGTCATCTCAACCCACATTCCAGACATTTTATCAGTTCCATTCGGCCTACACTCTGCTTGGTGGGACTCAAGCATGCAGAGCAGTGGAGTTTTGGGGAAGGGGGTTGGAGGGTGGGCTGGGGTGAAGAGAAGGGGAGCACTGCAGAAATGGTGTTTCATGAATGGCTAAAGAGAGAACACTTGTTCCCTTTAGGGATTTACATAAAACAATGCTCAGAATACTGTCGCTTGGGTAAAAAAAAAACGGGGACTGACTGCAGCTCTTGCTTTGCAAAGAGGAAAAACCTTGTACAGAGAAGATTTCTGGGCAGTGTTTGCCATTAGAGAAGTTATGTACCAGCCCAAAATCTCACTCACCAGCCCTTTTATGGTCTTTAATAAGGCATAGTCCAGTTTCAGAACAGCTGCAACAAAACAATAATTCGCATTTCTCTAGTGCCCAACACCCTCTGATAAAAAGTGCTTTACAAACATTCATGCATTAAAGCCACACAACCCCCTATGTCAGGTAGGTTGGTACAGTCATCCCCATTTTAAAGATAGGGAAACTGAGGCACAAAAGTTGAGACACACCCCAGGTCATAGTCCATTTAGAGCTGGGGTTCCAGCTGTGGAGTCTCTGGCTTCCCGTTCCTTGGGGGCTGTTTCTGCACAAGACAGCAGGTCAGTGTGAGCAGGGGCCTTTCACAACCTGCACTCTCATCCCTTTCCTGGAGTTTGTTTTACCACCGGACACAGATAAAGTTCAGCTCAAAGCCCCTCCCTGAGCTTGGCTGCTCTTAGGGTTCCTCCCTCAGGACTGTTCAGCCCACACCCTAGATCCCTCATCTCAATAAAGCCACTCTCCATGTCCCTTTTATCCATGTGGATTAACAAGCCATCAGTAAAACCCACCTAACTCTGTCCCAGCAGGATCTACACATAAAAGGGTGGCATATTTCAGGCAGACAGCTGCCAGAGCCCAGAGAAGTATCCTGCCTATACAGGCCCAACATGGAGCAGCTCAAAAGTGCTGTCACGCATAGGATCTTCCATGCATGGGCTCCAGCACAAAGAAAGCTTGAGCAGGGCATAGGGCAATCTCAGTATGACAATCCTGCCACTTCCTCATGTCTCTGCTTGGCTTGCACTTACTTATCATGTGATTCTTATGGCTGTGACCTGAATGACCTTGCAGTTGAACAGATTGGTAAGGCGGGGCAGCACAGCCAGGCCTGGGGACTTTGGGTAGCACCTTGCTTGGCGTGTTCAGCTGCTTGTCCTCCCTGCTGAATAGGGCCCTGCAGGAGCAGTGACCACAGAAACGAGCTCCACGCTGACCCCACACTGGGGCCAAAATCAATATCAACGTCTCCTTATTAGCCCAAGCCCTGAACCGAGAGAGACTCTTCCCAATGGGGACACTTCTCCCATGAGCCAGAGATTTTTGCAGTGTTACTAACAGCTGTAATTGACGCAGTGGTAGGGGGTTGGTGGGGTGGGGTAGGAGTGAACAGCACCTTGCAATGCTCAATTCAGCTGTCTCTGGCACCTCTGATACAATCACCATCTTATCTAGGATCCTTCAGCATCTCTCTCGTCAGTCTTCTGCTCCACCGACAGCACCCGCCGTGCCATTCTCCAACCCAGCACGAAGCACAGGGGACCAGCTGGGCAGCATTCCACTCGACGGCAGTCTCCTCTTGTGTCAGCGAGACGTGCTGCGGGCCAAACAATGTGCAGCACTTCTAGGGCAGTATACTTGCTGATTGCTTCCTTGATTATTGCTCACAACAACCAGCTAAGACACTGCCAAAGAAACACTCACAGCTGGCATCAACTGACGGGATGTGAGCTGCGGCAGGTGGTTCTGTCTCCCTCTTTCTTTCTCTGACCTAAAAATGGCAGGAGAGTCTGGGGGACAAAGAAACAGTCAATAAACAGCCATAACAGCGAGGGGAAAAATAATGTGGCTCTCCGGACGGAGATTCCAAATATACTTTGATAGACACACACACGATCTCAGATACAGCCTCTAAATGATACAGATATTAAAATAATAAAGAAAGCCAGCATCTGTCTGGATTCCATATTTACCTGAATTAGTCCTCTAGTCCCAGAGAGCCTCATTCAGCAGAGATAATGGAAAAATAACCCATCCCCAGATGCCTAATACATAGTTTCTGAGACACCCGCGTGTTCAAACTCTTAGTGGTTTCACTGGACTGCGCACTGCCACTCCTGAGTCATGCTCAGGATTAGAGAAGGAGAACTCGCTCAGAGCAGATCCCTCTGCAAATGAAACAGAAAAAGGGCCCAATTCTCATTTACATTAAGGCCACTTTCAGTTCCCTTTTTCCAGCCAGAGGGGTGCACAGTGGCATTTGGGAGCGGAACAGTACTGCTAACTCTTGTGATATCTGGCGCTCAAAAAGCCCTAGCGCCTGCTGTCATGTGAACATGTGAAAATGTCGACTTTTGTTACTTAAGAAAACATTTACCCCTCATGGGTCTAATCCCAAATGCCAGGAGCCTTCCCCTAGGGCCTCCGGTACTAGGGCTAACATCCCAAAGCAACAACACGTTGAACTATATGGAGGCCCATCTTCACTTCCTTACAGATCTTCCTAACTCTCTATTTTTCATTGGTTGGTCAGCTGGCAACTCTATTATTACCAAGGGACATGGCAGTTTCTTGGCACTTGGAGTCCTTACATCAAGACTGGATGTCTTCCTAAAAGGCATCCCCAAGTCCGACCCATTATTGGGCTTGACGATGGAATCACCAGATGAAGTTCTGTGGCCTGTGTTAAGCAGGAGGTCAGAGCAGATGATCTTAAATGGTCCCGTCTGTCCTTAAACTCTATGAACGGTTTTCCAATTTCCAATTGGGCACAGTAGGCACGTGCCTAGGGGCGCCGGCGTTCTTGGGGCACCTAAAAAGTTAAAAGTGGGTTAAAAGTTTAATTTTTTACAGAAAACACAAAGGTCAGCTGTAGGCGGGGGGGCCGCTGAAGATGCTGTGACTAGGGCGCGGAAGGTATAAATCCAGCCCTATGAACGGTCTGTCTGAGGAGGCCGACTGACAGAGTGAGGAGTAGTAACTGCACTCCAATAAGCAAAGGGCAGAGGTGACTTGCAGTGCAATCAGTCCACCCCAGAAGAGGCAATTGTTGACTAACAAACCCTTTGTTTATGCAGCCCTCTCACCCTAGCAAAAAAAGTCACAAGCCTTCTTTACAGCAATCACCTCCTGAGGTGGTCAGTAATCTGCCCCTTCCCTAACACGGAGATGGACCAAAATCTGGAACTAGCTGCCTTGTTTGAACAGTGACCTAACCAGCACTCCAATATTCCCCACCTGTATCAAAACAAGTCAGATTTTATCTCAAAAGCAAACAGTTCAGTGACAGGCCCTACAGGGGCACAAAGCAGTCAAATGCAGAAGAGGGAGGAGGGGGCACTGGTATTTCAAGTCACCCCACTCTGCTTTTATGCCTAACTGCGAGAGCTATAAGACTGGAATAGCTTCTCTGGGGAAATGGTAGAATCCCCATCACTTGGGCCCTTGTAAACTGGACAGGACAAAGCCCCGGAGAAGATACTGTAGGGGAGAATCTTGTACGCATGGGGCAAGAGAGGCAGGCTAGCTGACCTAGTCAGTTTCATATCTCCATGCTACCTAGTCCCTAGATTTGGACAGGTTAAAGCCAGCTGATACCTAGCTCTTCTACGGTGCTTTTCATCTGCAGAGCTCACAGTGCTTTGCCAATCCGACGGACCCAGCCCTGCTATTGTTATAGGGGAGTATTAGCCAATATGATAATCCCCTATAGCCTTTGACTCAAACCTCCCTGGGCTACATCAGTGTCTCTCAGCTAGTCAGTGCTAATCTACTCAGGCATTCAACTGCAAGTTGCTGGAACCTTATACGCGATTTAATCTCTCCGTCAGGTCTAACTAGTCGGAGTCTAGCTCCAGGCAGATGCGCAGGGATCTCTGCTTGGGGTTTTGTTTCAACATCGCTGAGAGCGCTAGAAGCAAATACATTTTAGATAACGCGGCACCTAATGCAAGAAAGCAGCAGATGATCTCCCATGTCCCATGGGTCTTTGCAAGTGAAATCAGCTGCACCTTGTGGGTTTGGGGTTCCTTTAATTGTGTGCAGGGGAGGATTGTGGCAGGGCGGCTGCAGTTGGGGTGGGCAGGAGAAGCAGCTTGTTTGGGTGGATGAGAGTCCCTACAAAAACGGGAAGAACTTTAAAATATCCTGTTAGATGGGGCTATTTTATACATCCAGAAAGAAATACTGACTTGAACCAATGGAGACACCTACTATATTATTATTATTATTAATTAAATTACTTTGCAGTAGTGCCTAGAGGCATCAACCAAGACTTGGACCCCATTGTACTAGCTGCTGTGCAAAGACATCGCAGGAAAGAGTCTCCTTGCCCAAAAGAGTTTACAATCTAAATCTCTGACTATCTAGAAGTCATTAGGACATCCCGCACAATGAGAGGTTAGCTTCTCCTCCCAGTCCATTAGGAATTGTTCTA